TAAATGACATTGGAACGATAAGCTGATATTTTTTGTGTGAAATACTGGTCAAGTCATTCATTAAATGACATTGGAACGATAAGCTGATATTTTTTGTGTGAAATACTGGTCAAGTCATTCATTAAATGACATTGGAACGATAAGCTGATATTTTTTGTGTGAAATACTGGTCAAGTCATTCATTAAATGACATTGGAACGATAAGCTGGTATTTTTTGTGTAAGATACTGATATTGGTTCTTTTTTGATACCTGTAGTGGGCGGAGCACAGATAGCCCATTGTGTAACTATACGCTTCGCAACAACTAAACCAATTAATAACGAATACTTATATAGCTACATGTTGGAGTTTCTTTCTGTCTTTATTAGCACAGAAATATTCTTGAATAGGATAGAAAACAACTTACACAATTCAAACTTTGATACACTTGTTATTAAACTTTTCTAAGCGGAAGGATATAGTGTAAATAAGTACAAAACTTCGGTTATGTGATGAGTTTTCATTTTCCTTTAACACTTAGTTTTAATGACTCTTGAGAATTATATCTTACATAAATTTATATATATTTTTATACAATGTTTATAAAATCTTACCATTTCTGATGTACTTCAATATCATCGGCAGTAAAGCCACGCCCATAATGACGTAATAAATACTAATCCTATCAAGAACGTATTCCTGTTCCAATCCTTCTCGAACTTTCCAGTAAATTATCCCAATCAGAATGGACATCAGGGAGGAGAATAGTATGTCGGATGCGAAGTGACCAATGTTGTAGGGGAACATGTATATTATGACGCGTCTGAAAAACACAATTAGAACGACACTCTGATTAACAGTGGTTTTAAAAATACGAGTGAAAGTCATTTTAGAAACAATGCCATTAAAGACATTAGGATTATACAGTAATTAACAGTAGTCTGACAAATACGAGTGGAAGTCATTTTAGAAACAATGCTATTGCGTGTTTTTAAAAACACTGTTAATCGGGGTATCATCCTAATGATTACGGAATTAAGACGCTAAAATCCGGGATTCGATTCCCCGCGGTGATAACAGCATATTGCAACGTGGCTTTGCTCTGAAACGAACAAATAAAGTCATCCTAATCTCAATAATGAATGACTTCTACTCGTATTTGTCAGAACACTGTTAATTAGTGTATCATTCTAATGTCTTTAATGAGATTGCTTCTAAAATGACTTCCACTCGTATTTGTCAGACCACTGTTAATTACTGTATCATCCTAATTTCTTTAATGGCATTGTTTCTAAAATGACTTCCACTCGTATTTGTCAGACAACTGTTAATTACTGTGTCATCCTAATTTCTTTAATGAGATTGCTTCTAAAATGACTTCCACTCGTATTTGTCAGACCACTGTTAATTAGTGTATCATCCTAATGTCTTTAATGGCATTGTTTCTAAAATGACTTCCACTCGTATTTGTCAGACAACTGTTAATTAGTGTATCATCCTAATGTCTTTAATGGCATTGTTTCTAAAATGACTTCCACTCGTATTTGTCAGACAACTGTTAATTAGTGTATCATCCTAATGTCTTTAATGGCATTGTTTCTAAAATGACTTCCACTCGTATTTGTCAGACTACTGTTAATTACTGTATCATCCTAATGTCTTTTCATGTGACTATTAGCTCAATGTCACCTCGAAACCGCTAATTCACCTCATGTGACTAGATTTTTGTTGCTTCAAAAAAAGGACGGACACGATTTTACGAGCCAGTGTAAAGTATTTTACAAAAACTACACCCCTGTTTGACCTATACGCACACAAACTTAGTATTAGTATTTTACAAAAACTACACCCCTGTTTGACCTATACGCACACAAACTTAGTATTTATTTATATTGCAATGTATACCACTAACTTCTCTTGAGTTTCCATAAAACATTCATCTCGTTGCTAGTTTTTAATGTATTGACGTTGTTGGAACACCTTTGTTGTTATATAAATACTACCTTGGCCATCAAGACTCTTTATTGGTAGAAATGATCACATCATAAATATCCAACTGCTGTTATACATCGTAGTTAATATAATGTCTTATATTTCACTGATACTGGAAGACTAACAAGTACACCATGATCTAAGTATTGTTTAGTTGAAAGGATCTTATCTTAAACAGCTGGAATAGATCATTCTCTGCGAATCAGTGTGATATATATAGGATCAGTATAATCAGATTCACCAATTATTCCTTTTCGGAGTTTGTAGATTCAGTTGAGTATTATCTCATTAGCTCTGTCC